GTTAATTTTTTATTTTAGTTCACAGTGGTTACAGAATGTGGCTTTCAAGAACTCCATTTTTTTGGAAGTTTCACTGTGGCTAAGCACACTTTGTACATAAACTAATTTTATGCTCACATTTGACCTGATAATTCAACTTACAGGGGAGCGATTTTTTTCTGAGAAATTAAAATATTTGCACACAAGTAAGTTTATCAGCCCATTACTTGTCAAAGAGAAAAAGTGCAGCGAATCAGATTGTCATCAAATTTGTAAGACAGGCAATGTTTGTGCAGCTATTAAAAAAGAAGGTGCTTGAGGGTCCGGGATCTGCGGGTCCCCGGAGGCTGGGCAAAACACTGATGGAAAAATACGTAACATATTCTGTGATATTGATAAGATGGTTCAGACTGCATAAAAAACTGATCAGAATACATCAAAAGGCTAATTACAATTGTTTTGTGTGATATGTTAGGGTTTGTAAGTCTTACCACGCATTTGGTTATGGGGAAACATCTCGGCCAATAGACATTTAGTGAATCATATCATGAAGAGCCCAGGCTCTGAGATGCGAAAATCAAGACACCAACCTGACGGTCCAGTCAGGATCCGCCCCCAGCCTTGGACGTCACATTCAACCCCCCAATTTTAAAGAATTTGAGGGCAACCCCAGCCAACACCATTAGAACTCAATTCTATTCAGAACAAGGGCACTCCGAATAGCAATAAATGGCATCCAGTGTGGTCATATAAAAACACGCTTCAATCTGAGGTGCCTTTTATCCAAAGGACAGGAGTAAGTGGCTGGGGAAGGGGATGCTCTGTGGCATTCTCCGTGGAGGTTTAGCTCAGAGCTGGAGCTGTGGTTTTTAAAGCACCTTTGTTGGAAAAGGCTTGGAGGCAAAGAGCAAATGCCAGAATTTCACGCAAAAATTAGTGTGGGCTTTAAAAAATATATTTTACTTGTTTATTTTTAGAGAGAGGGGAAGAGAAGGAGAAAGAGTGGGAGAGAAACATCAATGTGTGGTTACCTTTCACGTGTCCCCCACTGGGGACCTGGCCTGCAACCCAGGCATGTGCCCTGACTGGGAATCAAACCGGCAACCCTTTGCTTCACAGGCCCACGCTCAATCCACTGAGCTACACCCGCCAGGGCTAGTGTGGGCTTTTTGAGATGTGCAAACAGCAGAGGAGTTTGTACCTGATCCCCACGTTTCCCAGAATCTCATGTCTCTGTCCTTCGGGATAAAACTGGGGACCTTTCAGGGAGCTTCCAGAGTAAAAGGAAATCTCTTCAAAGACATTACATTGAAGTTAAAATTAATCAAAAGGGAGGGAGGGATGGCCAGAAAAACATATTTGAAATGTCTCAAGTATACCAAAGACTATTTTTCAAATCTGAAATAACCTATTGTTCAGGTAGTTTCCTATTATATAACTTTCTTGGTATTTGTCCCTACATATATAAAAGTGCATATTATATCTATGTATTAGGCTTAACATTATACCATTGAGTTTTACAGGTCAAAAAAAGGGGTCAGATGTCAGCCATCTTACATGGTTAATGTAAAAAACCTGAGAGAGGCTGTATCCTCTAACAGGCTGATCCTGTGTCTGCAGGGCGGCATCTGAGGAAAGGAGCTTCCATTTGGAAACGCCCTAGAAATTGACCAAAACCTGGTGTTTTAGGTAAATAGTCACAGTCAACACTGATGCTACCCCCAACACAGAACCATGTCTCACCTGTGCAGATGGGCACTGAGCCCACAAGGAGGACAGCTGTGACCCAGTCCCCAGCTGAAGCATGGCAGAGTCTGGGCCTGGGGGGAGGTGGAGGCTCTGCCCCTGTACAGCTTTATTTCATCCCAGAGCCTGATTGCATTCAGAGAGGGTCTCCTGCTTCTCCATCAACAATGTTTAAACTCTTCATAGCTCAAGAGTTGGGGTTCCTCTCCTAGAATCGAACATTCTGCTGAGTAGTCCCAGAACACCTGGGTGTCCAGGCTCAGAGCGGACATGTACTCAGCTCCATGCTGTCCAGGGCCACCCCGGCAGCTTGGCATGCACACCCTGTCCCTGTCGGTACCTTTGTCCCTGTGATTTGCATTGATTGTAGAGAATGCCCAGCACCTACGAGGCACCACAGCAGGAGTGAGGGTGGGATTCAGGAGGTGGTGGTGGCGAAATCAAACAAGTACATTGCGTGCTTGCTGCATCCAAAATACTTATCATCTCTCTGGGGAGGGGAAAACTCCTCTCCTTGTATTAAAACTCCTCATAGTAAAATTAAAAATAGCAACACCAGAAGTAATGCCAGAGAGAAGAATAAGACTGCCATTGCAAAGCTAGAGAAGTATGTGCACTCAGGGGATGATGGAAAAAAAAACTATTCTGGACCACAGGGACAAGAATGGCTCCCACAGGAAGAAAGTTGGCCTGGCGTGGGGTTTCTAGATGAAGAAAATATCATGAAAAGAAGCAGAGGAAAGAGAAAGACAAAGGATCTGTTCCAAGCTTAGTGATTACAGACTTTTAGCTAGAGCACAGCACTCACAAGAGCAAAAAGTAGACGATCCCTTTGCAAAGAAATCAGGGTGAACCCAACCAACTTACTGCTTCCTGCAGGGACCAGTTCTTGAACTCCCAGGTTAAGAAGACACTCACCAGGAGACACCTGGAGGGCTCTTAGGAATTTGCCCAAAGTATTTGTCTCCCCAGGAAACTCACTTCTCCCCAAATCTGCTGAGGCACGTAAGCTCCTTCTGGGTACAGAAAAGAACGCCACAGCACCGGCCTCTGCTGGGGACTGAGCCACCCCAAGGTGACATGCAGAGGCCAGCAGGCCTTCAGTTGGCATGGTAGTATTCTTCTTCCCGATTAGAAGAGGGACTAGAAAGAGTTAGGGGGATAAGTGCGTAGGGAAGAGTTCTCTTATACTGAATGGGCACTTGGACTCCGGGGCTCCCCTTAGGACCTGTGTTAGCAATAGATTAAAGCCAACCAATCTCCCTCCAGAGAGCTCAACCTGAAAACCCAAAGTCACACATTATAACAAAAAGGGGGCACATAGATGAGTCTAGTCTGACATTTTATACTCCCCCCCCAAGTTAACCCGCCTTTTGCATTCGTCCCATGAATATAAAGGGAAACAAAATTTTGTGGTTTTCTTCTCCTGCATTAAAATCCCCTGCTATTTATTTAATTAAAGATTTGGCTTGGTATTAGCAAGGTTTTATTGATTTTCAGCCATCTTCCTTGGACGGTTATTGAAAGTGGAGGGCTGAGTCATTTGGGCGCGGCCCCACCTCAAGGTTGGCCTTGGACTCCTCTTGAATCTTTCTGCAGGAGTGACTCTCAGCCTTGGCTTCACCTCCAAGTCCGCAGAGCTTTTCAACGCCCCCAGGCCCAGGCCTGGCCCCAGGTTAGGGTTCTGGGAGAGGGGTTGGTTGGGAGGCACAGCTGTTGAGAGCTCTCCACACCCATGTGCAGCCCAGACCGAGAAGCATCTCCAAACCAAACCGGTGTCTCCGAACCTCTCCTGCTCTGGGGCAGCTCCTCACACCTGAGTACAGTCTGCATTGTCCCTGGGCACCAGGGACACTGGTGACATGTTGGAGGGTGTTTATGTAAATCATGAACTAACTGCCATCCATTTGTTGTGAGACTGCATAAAAATAACCCCGAACTGAACCCGACAGACTCCTTCTCAGCAATAATCTATTAAAATGCATTGAGCCCTGGCTTGCTGGCTCAGCTCAGTGGGAGGATTGTCCCATGCACCAAAAGTTTGTGGGTTCGATCACCGGTAACGGCACATTCCTGGGTTGCGGGTTGGATCTTCCGCTGGGATGCAGTGGAAGTCACCCGATAGATGTTTCTCTCTCGTGTGGGTGTTTCTCTCCCTCTAAAATCTAATGGACGTATCCTCAGGTGAGAAAAGAAACACACTGACATCGAACCATTGATGTAAACCCTCGAGTTACGATTGAACCATATCATAGTCTGTTTCTAAAAGTTAATGGAAATGTACCAAATCTGTAATTAATAAGAGAAAAATGATGCTAGTGTGATCTCTGGGATGTGAAGTTAATCATCTATTTGATAAGTAATTAGGACATGCTTAGATTAGGTGGGGCATCAATTGTCTTTGTAACATGTAATTAATACCCCAGTGTTTTGTCATTTTTTAAATCATTTTCTCCCTGTTGAACAAGTAAAGTTTTTTCTTTTAAATTTATTTTGGACAGAGGGGAAGGGAGGGAGAAAGAGAGAAAGAGAGAGAAACACCAATGTGTGGTTGCCTCTCGTGTGCCCCCTACTGGGGACCTGGCCCGCAATCCAGGCATGTGCCCTGACTGGGAATGGACCCAGCAACCCTCTGGTTCACAGGCCAGCGCTCAATCCACTGAGCCACACCAGCCAGGGCAAGCAAGTAAAGTTTTCTTTCTGACCAATGAGTGCTTCTAGAAGCCAGTGTGGGACGTGGAGAGAAAGGAGAGAGCATAGGTACCAGCTGCAGTTCCTTAGGTCTGGGGCGGATACTGAGAATTCGTGTGTGAACAAGAACCCAGTGATGTCCCTATGGCTGGTCCGGGGCTCAGAACCTGGGAGCCACAGTATTTCATTCTAACACATAAACACACACATCCCGGGGGCCTTGTGAAACACAGGCTGCTTGTTTGCCCAAGTATGTTCCATGCATGTCAGGAGGTACTTCCTCCTGTCGAATCCTGAGGGTCACTGCGGCAACCCCTGCAGAAGGTCCCCTGAATGAGGTGATATTAAGGACCAGGCCAAGGATGGGGACCGTTACCCCATTTCCACCCATACCTCATTGCTCAGAGAGTATCGAAACACTCTGGACACCAGATGCTCTCAGAAACCAAAGGGGTCAGGAAGGAAGGGCCCTACCAAAGAGGGGCGCTCCACCTACAGACATTGTCCCGGAAGCTAAATTACATTGTGAGCATGGGGTCTTTAAGTCAAGCGCTTATCTAAGGAAATGCCATACATCAAATAAGATGTCTTTGGCCAGCGATTTCTATTTGTGCTCCTATGTGGGGCACAAGGGCAAGTTTGGACACGGGTTTCTGGAGTTCAAGTTCCAACCGAACGGGAAGCTTAGATATGCCAACAACAGCAACTGTAAAAATGATGTCATGATCAGAAAAGAGGCGCACGTACACAAGAGTGTGATGGGAGGACCGAAGAAGATCACTGATGACAGAGAAATTACAAAAGATGATGCTCTGTGGCCTCCTCCTGACAGGGGTGGCCAGCGGGAGCTTGAAATTGTAACTGGAGATGAACACATTTCTTTTACTACATCAAAAACAGGTTCTCTCATTGATGTAAATCAGCCAAAGGATCCCGAAGGCCTTCGAGTGTTTTACTACTTGGTACGGGACCTGAAATGTTGAGTTTTCAGTCTTACTGGATTACATTTCAAGATTAAACCAATATGAATGATATGTTTCTTGAAGCTGCTTTATATTTAATTAAGAAATTGGTAAAGCGGGGTTATTTCTCATTTACATTATCGGGATTTTTATGTATGTGAGGCAGGCTCCTTTTTGTATGCAAATTGAAAATAAGAAAATGTATAAACAGGTTTGATGGTTATCTTCACTTTTGCCCAAGTGGGTTGAACAGTGCCCACACACATTAAATTCTGTACATAAAAGACACCTTTTTTAAAAAACTTTTTTATTGATTATGCCATTACATTTGTTCTATTCCCCCCCTCCATTCCCCTCCACCCTGCATACCCCTCCCCCACCATTTCCCCCTTTAGTTCATGAACACGTGTCTCAAATTCTTTAGATTCTGTATTTCCCCTACTATTCTTACCCTCCCCCCTATCTATTTTCTATCTACTGTCTATGCTACTTATTTTCTGTACCCTTTTGTTAAAATTTTGCTCCAATAAAACTTAGAGCCCCCCAAAAATCTTCAGAACTAAACTACCTTGAGGACAGATAACATTTTGAATTTTGAGAAACTGCTTACTTGGAATTGGTTTTCATGGATTTCCAAACATCAGCCCAGTTTAAATTCCATGACCATAAGGTATGGTTTCCAATCATTTTATTTGTAAACAATTAAGAGTGTGCGTGCTGGCGACAGCTTCTAATCTACTGATTACAATTACTCACTGCCTTGGAACATTATTCGACAAAGCTGTGTCTCAGTATTGTTATCTGAAGAATGGGCATTGCAGGTTGAACTGTGTTCCCTCAAAATTCACAGGTTGAAGTCCTAATCCCAGTACCTCCAACTGTGCTGCATCTGGGGGAAGGGCCTATACGAGGTAATTAAGGTTAAGTGGGTGAAGGTGTGCGGCCCCGAGTCGCCATGACTGGTGTCCTCGGAGAGAGAGGGAGCAGGCCAGAGAGAGGACAAATTCAGCTCACTAGGAGGCTAGAGGCCGGGAAGCCGACATTCAGGTAAGAGGGGATTTTGCAGTCCTGAGCCCCGAATCTACGGGGCGGGCCAGGAGACCGGAAACTCGGACAGGGCTTCTAGGCGTAGGCTGCAGGCAAAACTGCTTCCTCGTCTTCGGAAAACCTCTCTCTTTGCCGTAGAGGTCTCCCGCGGATTAAAAAAGGCCCACGTAACCGCGGTACCCGACTCCCTAAAAACGCATGGACTGTGTCAGTCCCACCCGCAGGAACCTTCCCTGCAGCGTCTGAGCTGATTTGGGCCAAACCACTGGGCCCTGTGGCCCAGCCAAGGAGACGGCAAGTCAGCCATTGCTCAGGGGGCCTGGGACACACATCCATCATGGACCCGCCACTCATTTACACAAAAATAAATTCCAGGCACAGTGAACAGGTGCCACTTTTCTATCCTGTGTCTCCAAGGTTTTAGATTACAGCATAAGAGCGTTTGACCTGGTTTTAAAATCAGTCACTCCCTGGGCATCCAGACTCCTTTCACATAAGTACAGAGGTCCCCGTCCTGTCTAAATCGTAAGAACGTCTAATGTACGGTGGCAGGGCGTGCAACACATTCTTGGTCTCATTCTTGGGCTCATGCACCTGTTCTCCTGGGCTGCTGTGTGCTGCTCCTACCGCAGCCCATGATACTCAGCTCCGAGTGACAAGACCACGTAGCACGTTACTGAGTGACACCAAAGGAGACCGGAGGCAGACTCATTGCTCCAGCCACTGGCAGAAACGCTTTAAAAGGAGCGTGGGAGAGGGCCGACTGACCCCACTGGGATAAAAGGGCCGTGTGCTAGAGAAAGTCGCCGGTTTACTGAGTTAATGGAGGAGGCTGCGCTATGAGGCGCAGAATCAGAGCCATTATTTTGGGCCACAGTTTGGTGAGTTCTGGCCATCGCCTTGGGCCTTTCTATTTTGAGATTATCATTAAAAACACAGGGGATAGTTTGGAAGGTTAATTTTATTCTTTTATGAAGGCTTAAATAAAAACTAATCAAACTTTTTACTGCATTTGAATTACATACTTATAGTTGTCTTATTACCTACTATAAGAAAAATGTTTACTCTGGAGTCCTGTTTTCTATGTCAGTGATTTTTGGTGGCAAATAAATAATTAATATGATTGCCTTGGATAAATTGTGTTTCCTGTTTTTTAGATAAGAGACACATGGGTTTGACTTATATTTTTAATCATAAAGAAATAGCCCTGAGGTCCTTATTGTACATACCTTCACTTTCTTCAATGAAATTTAAAAATAGAAGAACAATTTATGAGGATTTATTTCTTCTAATTATGAGTTAAACCTTGCTATCTGTTTAATAATTCACTTCTGTTGTTTGTTATTTTTGAAAATTTTACATTAATAAAAAGTGTTCCTTTAATACAATGATCCAAAAGTTCTGCAAACATCAATCATGATTTCCATGGTTACCTCATGATATTGTCCTTCTAAAATATAATTTACCAGGATCACCACATCAAAAATACAAATATTTATTGTAATGGCCTAAGTCAGATGCTACAACTCAGTCATTAAAAAAAATAGATTGGTGGGTAGTAATGTTGATAGTGCTTTTGATGAAACAAATGCAATATGTACAGAACATGTAAATAGTAGACACTATATAATAATAATAATAATAATAATGATGATGATGATGAGGGCAAGTAGCTTCCTTCTATTTACAGTGATATACAGGCCGCAACTAAAGAATGCGATAACTACAAATTATTACTTCATGTCTCTGTGACTATTTAAAGGCCTGCTTTTGTATACAAAATAGTAACAAATTATACATGTGGTACATTTTATCTGGTATGGGTGCTACACATTTTCCTGGCTGACAAGTGGCGGTGGTACCTCCACGTGGTCACCACCCTTTGCAACATAAGAAGCAAAGGGGTAGAAACCCCTCCCGGTCGAACAGGGTGGGGGACGGATCCAAGGAGCTCTGAACAAGCAGAGCAGTCGCGGCCACTGGCTGCCGCTGGCTCTCCATCTTCCTCCTGCACAGTGTGCGGAGGACTTGCCCAGTTTCGGCCCAAATAGTGCCCCGTGCCAGGAAGCCCCCAAGACCCAGGCCAATCCGACACCTGGTCCCCTGATAGCAAGGTGACAGGCTGAAGTGAGCATGTGTCTGTGTGTCCTCAGGACACTGTCCCTGACGAGGGAGCCAACACTCAGCACAGCATGGCTGCCACAAGAAACCCAGAGGCCTTCGCCACTGCCATGAAAACTTGCTCTAGGTCTCAACCCTTCAAAAGCCCACATTCCCTCAAAGAACATATAGGAATAATGAACAGGAAACAACTATGAAAATAAATGACAGGTTCATTCAGGGTTTTCATGGGCATTTTAAAAAATAATCTTAACTAAGACTTTTGTTAGGAATATCGGGCACTAAACTGTTAATATGGACATCTGTTTGGCATTCAGACGGTAACAAAGCACATAAAATTTTAATCGGCAGTTTCTTCAGTATTTAAAGAAGACTATTGCTATCAACATATTTTTCATAACGAAACTCATGCACTACTGTCGGTTGTATTTATTACACAGAGGATCATTTTAATGTAAAAATGCAGGTGACTTCATTCTATCAACCCCAGTGGTACTTAGAGCTAGGATGTTATTACTTGCTCCCAGGGCCAAGCAAAACTGTAAACCTGCTGGGTTCTAACCCGCGGCTGTGTGGTTGAGCCGGGCACGTCTGCACTGTAAATGACAATATAAAGTAATCAAATATGTATAGAAACGGTAGTCATGGAAGCAGTATCCCCGGTTCATAAAATTTCATAAGAAATAAAGGAAATAATTTATAAACATCAACACTCTGGGCTTATGAATTGCTTTTCCCAAAATAGAATGCTGTTCTAATAACGTAAGAAATGGTCTGTCGGTCAGCACTGCCTACCTTTTCTTCACATCTCCTTTATTCATAGTCCATTTCCAGAACGACGGTACCAGCCACGCCGCTGGTCTCCATCCTCATCCTGGGGCCACCCAGTGCTGGTGTGTTGGTATTAGGTTTCTAAATTGTTACAAGGCATAGCTCTCTCTGGTGACACTTTGTGACATGCAGAAACATCGTTTGCAAAGTCACAGATTTAAAGGGTGGGAAATTCTTCTTCTAGCTAGAACAAAACAGTGAAACAGCCAAAACGAAAAAGAAAAGAAATTGTACAGATGTGAGTGTATATGGATGGTGATAAACTTGAGAACAGATAGGCTGAGTTTCTCCTAATGTCCTGCTAGCCTTTATAGAATTCTATTATGAACTCTTTCATAAGAAAAATGAATTATTTTAACCATTGTCTATATTGTGAATATTAAAACAATACCCACTTTTCTCAGATTTCTTGGAAAGCACAGTACAGACTCTGCCATTTCTGGAGGGGCTTATTTAAAACTGGATTGGCCAGAATGCCATTTAATTTTTTCTGTAAAATAAATGAAGCATTTTTCATTTTCATGACTAGCTTTATCGATTTGGATATTTTGAGTATGTCAGCTATATTCAGCTATTGTCTTCTAGTGGGTAGAGGACAGAGGTGCTGCTACAAATCTTCCAATGCATAGGACAGCCCCACAGCAAAGAATTATTTGGCCAAAATGTCAAATAACACCAAGAAACTTCACGAGACACTTCTGACACATTCAATCAGTCACAGAACCTTCTCCATACACTGCACAAATCTTTTTGTGTGTTTCAGTTCATTGTTGCTTTTTTGAAATAATAAAGCATAATATGCCAAAAACACGTTTTTTCTTCTATCTTCACTATTAAAATGGCTACACAAAAATTCACCACTTTTGATGTTTTTTTTTAAATGCATGCTGATATGACAGCTGACACAATACAACCTATCAAAACTCTTTTGAATGAAGTCAAAGACAACTAAGCACAACTAGAGCCAGCGTAAGGAAAACGCTAAACAAACTTTCTGGCCAACCCAGTATAACATATCCTCC